TGTTTATCTAATCTTGAGTCATACAATAATACTTTATCTCCTTTCTGATAATAAATCTCCTTTTTCATCTTCTTATCTTTATGTTGTTTTTGTGACTTTTCTTGAGATAATTTGATTAGTTCTCTGGCTTTTTGTTGATGTTGTGGTAACATTTCTTCTATCTCATATATCCTTTTTAGTATTGAATCTTCCAAGCTTATCTCTTCATTATTTTCTTCCTTGTTTTCCAATTCTAGTGGTAATACAGGATTGCGTCCATAATTTAAATAAAATGGAGTATATTTAGTTGTACTATGTTTAGCTGTTCTGTAAGCAAATAATACAGAAGGTATGTGTAAATCCCAATTAAATATGTCATTTGTTTTTGCTAGCATGGTTGTTAATGTTCTATTAAATCTTTCTACTAGTCCATTTGTTTGAGGATGATAAGGTGATGATAATCTATGTTGAATTCCAAATTTGTCACATAATTCTTTTATCATCTTATTTTTAAAATGACTTCCTTGATCTGTTAATATTATCTTTGGTGCTCCATATCTACAAATTATTTCTTCAAATACAAAATTAGCTACATTTTCTGCAGTTGCTTTATCTAGTGCTCTTACTTCTACCCATTTAGTAAGATATTCAATTGCTACTACCATATATTTGTTCTTGTTTCTTGTTTCTGGTAATGGTCCTACTATATCTATTCCTATTCTTTCAAATGGTTGTATTACTTCTATTGAATGTAGTGGTTCATTTCTTTCAGGTTTTCCAAATCTTTGACAAGTATTACATGTTCTGATATATTCTTTAATATCGTCATACATTTGATTCCAATAATATTTGTCCTTTATTTTGTTATATGTTGTTTCTATTCCTAAGTGTCCTGCTGTAGGTTGGTCATGCATCATTTTCATTAATGTTTCAAATTCTGATCGTCTTAATACTTTCAGTGGTTCATGATTCCATTTTCTTGGTTTTTTGTATAACTGTCCATTAATAATTTGGTAATATTTTGTTTTGTTAATTAGTTGTTGTTTCTCCTTATTCTTTAAATTTTCATTGGTCCTTTTTTCTTTTAAATACAGGGTTATTTGTTGATATAATTCTTCATCCATTTATAATCTTGATAAGGTATCTGCATTCGTATTTATTTTTCCAGGCCTATATTTTATTTCAAAATCAAAAGGTAAAACTTTTACTATCCATTTTGCTATTCTGCTTTTTGTCTCCTTTATATTGTTTTTCTTTAAATATTGCATTGCTATGTGATCTGTTAATAATACAAAATGTTTATATCCTAAATAATAATGAAATTTTTCTATTGCCCATACTGCTGCATTTAGTTCTAATTCAGTTGGATTGTAATTTTTCTTAGGTCCTCCTATACTTTGGCTTGCATATGATACTACATATTCTTTTCCTTCATCATCTATTTGTGCTAATACTGCTCCAAATCCTTTTGCAGATCCATCTGTCATTAAGTAGAATGTTCTATTAAAATCTGGATGTCTTAATATTGGTGCAGTTATTAAAGCTTGTTTTAGTATATTGAATGCTTCTTCTTGTTTCTCAGTCCAAATAAAGGGTTCATCTTTCTTAACTAATTGATTCATTGGTCTAGCTATTTGTGCAAAGTTTTTAATAAATTTTCTATAGTATGAGGCAAGTCCTAAGAAACTTCTAATTTTTGTTACAGTTGTAGGTCTTGGGAAGTCTTTTACTTTTTCTATCTTTTTGGGATCTGGTTTTATTCCATCTTTTCCTACTACATGTCCTAAAAATGTAAGTTCTGTTTCCAGAAATTCACATTTACTTGGTTTTATTTTTAATCCTGCTACTTTAATTCTTCGAAATACTTCTTCCAGTTTTTCTAAATGTTCTTCAAATGTTTTTGAATAAATTATTATATCATCCAGGTATACCATTACTCCATTATTTATCATTCCATTTAATACTGTGTTCATTAATCTTTGGAAAGTGGCTGGTGCATTAGTTAATCCAAAAGGCATTATTGTGAATTCATATATTCCTTGTTTTGTAACAAATGCTGTCTTTTGTTGATCTTTAGGTTCCATTTCTACTTGCCAATAACCACTTGCTAAATCCAGGGTAGTAAACCATTGCGCTTCTCCTAATGTTCCTAACATGTCATCTATTTGTGGTATGGGGTGAGCATCCTTTTTAGTTACATTATTTAATTTTCTATAATCTACACAAAACCTAAGTTTTCCATCCTTTTTCTTTACTAGTACTACTGGTGAAGTCCAGGGGCTGTATGATTTCTTTATTATCCCATCTTTTAATAATCGTTGTATTTCTTCTTCAATATATTTTTGATTTGCAGGGTTTGTCCTATAATATTGCTGTCTAATTGGCTTAACATTTTCTTCTATTTCTATTCCATGTCTAATAATATTAGTTCTTCCTAATTGATGTATTTCTTCTGCAAATATTTCTTCATATTGTTTTATTAATTTGTTAAAATTCTTTCTTTGTTCTAATTTTAATTCTCCTACTTTGAATTCTTCAGGTTTTACAATATATCCAACTGATGATGATTCTCTTATTTCTAGTCCCTCTTCCAAATCACTTTCTTCATCATCTATTTCATCCGAGTGTGGTCAATCCTGTTTTGGTTTATAGTTTCCTTGAAAAAGTACTTGTTCTTCTTCATCATCACTTTCATAATCATCATCACTTTCATAATTATCTTCTGCTTGTTTATAGGTTGCTGTAGTCTTGATACTTTGATTTCTCCAGTTAAGAGTTAATTCTTGATTTTTCCAGTCATAACTAGCTCCTGCTTTCATCATCCAATCATTTCCTAATAATATATGGTATGCTTCAGTTTTCATTACTTCTACATTAATTGGTATTGTTTTCCCTTCAATTTCAATAGGGAAATCTCTAATTCTTCCTAAAGACTCATTCTTCTCTCCATTCGCTGATATAATTTTACAGTTAGTTGCTTCTTCAATATCATATTGTAATTGTTCCATTGTTTTTTCTGAAATTATACTAGTAGCTGCTCCACTATCAATAGTAGCTGGTACTCTAAATCCATTTACTATTACTTCACATTCCAGGGTAGTTGTTTTTGTATTATTATTCTGATTTGCTAATTTTACAGCAGTTTCTTTTGGTGTTCGCAATGCTTCTTTCAATTTCTTTCTTTCTTGTGAACTAATTTTTAATAATTGTGGTAATGTAATTTCCAATTTTTGTTCTTGCAGCTTCTTTATTAAGTTAAATTCAGATCCTTTTAATAATTCTGGTTGTTTTCTTTCTTTAAATGGTTTTTCAGGTGATTTTACCATTTTCTTTTTATTCTTATTTGGTGTCCATTCCATTGGTACTAGTCCAAAATTTTTATTCTCTTTTCTTTTTGGGTCAGTTTTATAATCATAAATTACTTTTGGTTCTTCAGTTCTTCTTCTTTTTACATTTCCAAAACTGTCAAAATTTCCGTTTAATAGTGCTGTAATTTCTTCTGTTTCTTTATCAGTATTATATTCATCCGTTTCTTCAATACTTATAAAATTAATGGGAGTGTTATTCTGATTATTATTGTTTTGATTTTGGTTTCTGTTGTTGTATTGACTTCTGCTATTGTATTGGTTATTGTTTCTTCTTCCATTTTCATTTTGATTTGTTCTGTTTTCTTGTTGATTATTATTATTCGTATTATTATTTTGATAATTATTTCTATTAAAATTATTGTTACCATTGTTAAATCCATAATTATCATTGTTATTTCTCCTTAAACTTCTACAGTCCTTTTTAAAGTGACCTCTCTTTCCACAATTGTAACATTCGATACCATTATTTTGAGGTCTTTCAATCTTTGCTATTTTAATTTTCAATTCTTCAAATTGTTTTACTAATTGTTCCATTGGATCTTCTTTTGGTTCTTCTTTCTTTTTAGTAGTTTTCTTTACAGGTGTTTCTTCCTCACTAGAAGATTCTTCTTCAACGATTACTTTCTTTTTCTTTTTGTTAATTCTTCTTTTATATTTTACTTCATCTCCTGGTTCTATTTCTTCTTCTAAATCTTCAGCTGCTTCATATTTTTGAATTAAGTCAACTATTCCTTTCACACTTTCAGGTTCATGTAAACTTATTATTGGAAGTAATCCTTTTCTTAATCCTCTAGTAAAGTAAAGCATCTTTTGTTCTTCTCCTAGTTCTTCTAACTTTTTTATAATCTTTTTGAATCTTGCATGATATCTTTCGACTGCTTCTCCAGGTTTTTGTTTTAATTTTTCTAGTTGGTTTCTCCATTTATTTTTCCATCTTTGATTACAAAATGTTTCTTTAAAAGATGTTTTCAATTCTTCCAGGGTGGGATATCGATTGTCTTCTCCTCTTACATAAGTTTCTTGATACCATTCTTCAGCTCCTTCTTCTAAGAATCCATATAACTTTTCTTTCTTTCTGTCATCATTCCATTGATTAATAATTGCTACTTTATCAAATTCTTTCAACCATTCTTCAGGGTCTTGAGTTCCATCTCCAGTAAATCTTTGAAGTTTAAATGATAAGAGATCCATTTCTACAGTATTATTTTCTGGTTCTTCTTCTTCTTCCTCACTTGCACTATTGTAATCTATATTATAATCTTCTAGTTCTTCTTGTTCTCTATTATCTTCAGGGTCAAATATATTATATTCTTCCTGATTGTTTTCTTCTATTGGATTCTCCAGGTTTTGTTGTTCTATTTCGTCTTCTTCTTCTGTTATTATTTTTAACTGTTGTTTGAAGCTATTACTTCTTGACCTTGTTACTTTCCTTAGTCCTTCAGTTATTTCTTCTTGAATGTTTATTATTTCTCTTTTTAATTCTTCAAATTCTCTTTCACTTATTTCTGAACCTTGATATGATTCTGCAGGGGAGTTTTCTCTAGTTGTTTCGTAACTTGGATTAACAGAAAAAGATATTGGTGAAGTGGTTTGAGAATTTTCTCTTCTCTGTATATTCCAATTAATATTTTCTAATTCTTGGTTGATATTTATATGTGGTATTTCTTTTCTGTATAGTTGGTATTTCTTTCTGTATGCCAGTTTTTATTATTTTTATTTTTCTTTTCAACTTTTTCTGAAAAATACTCTGTCGTTTTGCTGTCCCTTTTATAAGTTTTTCTCTGTTGATCTTTTTGTAATCATTTGAGAATTTCTTATTTGTCACATCCTCATGAAGGTAGCTAATCTTCTGGTGTGAATTATTTTTAGAATATCCTTAGGTTAAGTACACTGCGTCACATACTATTAGGTATTAACAGTGGCAGTTCACCTTCCCAATAATCATGTACTAAAACTTTCAGAATATTGACAGCCCTTTTCCTTAATTGTTTTCAGGTACAAGGTGATCAAGCTTGATTTACCCATACTAACAACTACTTCGCTAGAGGTTTTGCACTTGACTCCTAATCAGAGGTATAAGTACTTGAAGTCCAGTCAGAGGTTTTGCACTTAGCGGCTTCCATTAATTTCTTCATTTAATTTAATATTTCCTGACAGTGGTGACGGAGCGAATCCTGAAGACTTGTCAGTTTTATTCTATTCAACATTTATTGTTGATCCTCTTTTATTTCAATTTGACAGAGTTTCCCTTGTATTTTCAATATTTCATTCCAGAATTTCTCATTTCAACAATATTATATTTTCCATAATTCCATTTATTCTTTCCAATAATTTTATCCATTTGTTTTTCACATTTGTTCTCCCTTCAATAATTAAGATTCCTTTCCGCTAGAAGGCACCAAATTGTCACCGGTGGTCC